TGCGAGCTGGGCGGGGGTGGAGGTGAGAGGGAGCTGGGGCGCGTTTACTGCCCTGGGATGGGCCCAAGGGCCCTCAGGGAGGGGTGGTGGAGGGAGGGGTCGGGGGCTCGGGCAGGGGCTGTACTCCTGGGACAGATACGGTGCTGGGCAAAGTCGGGGGAGACCCTGGGGCATAATGTCTTCTGTCCCCACTAGGGTGTGGGCCGGGCCTGGTGACTCCCAGGGGGACACCTGGCAAACACCTCCCCCTGGTGATCAAGGTCAACATCAGCAGTGATGGTTAGAGTACCCAGATTAGGATGTGGTGGGAAGGGCACTCCTCTTCTGTGGATTTCTCACCTCTACCCCTGAGAAAAACACCGGAAAATTCCTGGAGAGGGACATCCGGCAGCACACCTGGCAGTGCCCCTTAAAACTGCCAAGGGCATCAAAAGCTAAGAAAGTGTGACNCCCCTTAAAACTGCCAAGGTCATCAAAAGCTAAGAAACGCTCACAGCCAAGAGGAGCCTGAGGAGACGGGACAACTAAATGTCCAGTAAGATCCTGCGGCAGAAACAGGACATTAGGGGAAAATGAAGAAAATCTTAGTCAACTGTGGTTTATTTAGTTAGTTAATAATAATATATCAGTATTGGTTCATTAATTGGAACAAATATATCACTAATGCAAGATGTCAATAGGGGAAACTGTGAGGTTCGTGGTAACTCTGTATAGCTTTGCAAATCTTTTAAACAAAAAACAGTTCAATTGTTTTTGTTTTTTTAACAATAGACAGTATTATTAACTATAGTCACCATGTGACTTATACATCCCCATGAGCTATTTTATAACTGGAAGCTTGTGCCTTTTGACCACCTGACCCCTCTTACCTCCCTCCCCCATTTCTACCCCTTTGGCAACCACCTATCTGTTCTCTGTATCTAACGAGATCAGGGTTTTTTGTTTTTTGTTTTTGTGGGTTTGTTTGTTTTTTTAAGATTCCACATATAAGTGAGATCACATGGTATTTGTGTTTCTTTGTCTGCCTTATTTCACTTAGCATCGTGCCCTCAAGTTCCATCCATGTTGCAAATGGCAAGATTTCCTTTTTCACGGCTGAATAACATTCCACTGTATACACATATAGTAATTTCTTTATCCATTCATCCATCTGTGGACACTTAGGTGTTTCCTTCTCTTGGCTACTGTAAAGAACGCTGCAATGAATATGGGGGTGCAGATATATTTTCTAGGTAGTGTTTTTGTTTTCTTTAGATAATTACCCAGAAGTGGAATTGCTGGATTTTACGGTACTTCTAGTTTTAAGTTTTTGAGGAACCTCCATATCATTTCCCATCGTGGCTGCACCAATTTACATTCCCAGCAACAGTGCCTGAGGGATCCCTTTCCCCCACATCCTCACCAACACTTAATTCTTGACTTTTTTTGGTAATAGCCATTCTGGCAGGTGTGAGATGATATCTCATTGTGGTTTTGATTTGCATTTTCCTGATGATGAGTGATGCTGAGCAACTTCTCAGGTGCCTGTTGGCCACCTCTGTCTTCTTTGGAAAAATGTCTATTTACATTTTCTGCCTATTTTTTAATTGGATTGTTTGGGTTTTTGGTTTTTTTTTTGCCATGAATTCTTTATATACTTTGGATATTAGCTTCTTATGAGACATATATTTGTAAATATCTTCTCTCAGTAGGTTGCCTTTTCATTTTGTTGATGGTTTCCTTTGCTGCGCAGAACCTTTTTAGTTTGATGTAGTCCCAGATGTTTATTTTTGCTTTTGCTTTTGGTGTAAATCCAATATCATTGCTAAGACCAACGTCAAGGAGTTTACTGCCTATGTTTTCATCTGGGAGTTTTCTTGTTTCAGGTTTATGTTCAAGTGTTTAACCCATTTTGAGTTATTTTTTGTGTGAGGTGTAAGACAGGGCTCTAAGATTCATTCTTTTACATGTGGCTGTCCAATTTCCCCACCACCATTTATTGAAGAAATTTTATTTTCCTGTTGTATATTCCCGCTCCTTTGTCATAAATTGGCCGTGTATGTGTGTGTTCATTTCTGGGCTCTCTATTCTGTCCCACTGATCTGTGTTTTTAAGCCAATATCACACTGTTCTAACTACTACAACTTTGTAATGTAGTTTGAAATGAGGGAGTATTATGCCTCCAGCTTTGTTCTTCTTTCTTAAGATTGCTTTGGCTATTTGGGGTCTTTTGTGGTTCCACACAAATTTTAGGATTTTTTTTCTATTTCTGTGAAAAGTGTCATTGGAATTTGATAGGGATTGCATTGAACCTATAGATTGTTTTGGATAATATGGACGGTTATAACAATATTAATTCTTTCAATCCATGAGCATGGAATATATATTTACTATATACCTATTTAATATTTATTTAAATATATATGAAATATATACTATATATTTAATATACAATATAATTTATATATATAAATTATTTAGAACATATAGTCAATATATAGTCTAAATAGTTAATTTGGTTTTTTTTTAAGTGGAGGGAAGAGAATTTTTTTCTTTGTAAGAGTTTATTTGGGCCAAACTGAGGACATATGCCAGGGAGCAATATCTCCATGTTCCAGAGAATGAGTCTTGCAGGGTTTTTTTTCTTGATCAAGGTTTTAATTTTTTTATTTATTATTTAAAATCATTTCTTAATTTTTCAATTATAGTTGACATACCTCATTATATTAGTTTCAGGTGTATACCCGACTGGTTAGACATGACATAACTTGCTAAGGGATCACCCTGATAAATCTCATACCCACCTGACACCGTACATAGCTATTAGAATATTATTGACTATATTCCTTATGCCGTATTTTACATCCCCCATGGCTGTTCAGTAACTACTAGTTTGTACTTCTTAATCCCTTTGCCTTTTCCACCCATCCCCCCAAATCCCCTCCCATCTGGCAACCGTCAAAACGTTCTCTATGAGTCTGTTTCTGCCTTGCTTGTTTATTTTGTTTTTTAGAATCAATTGCTGATAGATATCAATGTATTGCCATCTTATTGTTCATATTTTTTATCTTTCTCCTTTTTCTTCATCTTCTTAAAGAAGACCCTTTACATTTCCTGTGATACTGGTGTGGTGGTGATGGACCCCTAAAGCTAAAGCTTTTACTTGTCTTGGAAGCTCTTTATCTGACCTTCAATTCTACACGATAGCTTTGCTGGGTAAAATAATCTTGCTTGTAGGTTCTTGCTTTTCATTACTTTGAATATTTTGTGCCAATCCCTCTGGCCTTCAAAGTTTCTGTTGAGAAATCAGCTGACAGTCATATGGGAGCTCCCTTGTAGGTAACTAATTGCTTTTCTCTTGCTGCTTTTAAGATTCTCTCTTTGTCTTAAACCTTTTGCATTTTAATTATGTGTCTTGGTGTGGGCCTCTTTGGGTTCATCTTGTTTGGGACCCTCTGTGCTTCCTGGACTTGTAAGTCTATTTCCTTCATCAGATTACGGAAATTTTCTGTCATTTTTTCCAAATAGATCTTTAATTTCTTGCCCTCTCTCTTCTCCTTTCAGCATCCCCAAGATGCAAATGTTGGAATGCTTGAAGTTGTGCCAGAGGCTCCTTACACCATCCTCATTTTTTAAAATTCTTTTTGCTTTTCTCATTGGGTGTTTTTTGCTTCCTTATGTTCCAAATTGCTGATTTGAATCTCAGCTTCATCTACTCTACTGTTGATTCCCTGTAAATTATTCTTCATTTCAGTTAGTGTAGCTTTTTTTTTTTTTTTTTTTTTTTTCAGATTTCAGAGAGAGGAAGGGAGAGGGAGAGGGAGAACATCAATGATGAGAGAGAATCATTGATTAGCTGCCTCCTGCATGCTCCCTACTGGGGATTAAGCCTCAAACCCAAGCATGTGTCTTAGCCTGGAATAGAACTGTGACCTTCTGGTGTATGGGTTGATGCTCAGCCACTGAGCAACACCAGCCAGGCTGTATCCTTCATTTCTGACTGGTCTTTTTTTAATGCTGTTGAAGTTTTCTCTAAGTTCATTGAGCACCTGTAGAACCAGTGTTTTGAATTCTGCATCTAGTAGGTTGCTTATCTCTATTTTGTTTTGTTCTTTTTCTGGAGTTTTGTTCTTATTTTATTTTATTTTATTTTATTTTATTTGGGACATGTTCCTTTGTCTTCTCTTTTTGGCAGCCTCCCTTTGTTTCTATGTGTTAGGTAGAGCTGCTAGGTCTCCCAAGCTTGGTAGAGTAGCCCAATGTAGTAGGTGTTCTGTAGGGTCCAGTGGCAGAGCCTTTCCAATCACCCAAGCTGGGCACACCTTGGGAGCCCATGTGGACTGTGTACACTGCCCTCTTGTAGTTGAGCCTTGATTGCTGTTGGCATGTCAATGGGAGGGAATTACCCCCAGGCTGATCAGCTGCAAGAACTGGCTCCCACCACTGATCACTGACCTCCGAGCACCGGAGAGGATCAGCTGTACAGGGGCCCACCCCACAGAGCAAGGTTTACTTTAGCAGGGCTCTGGTGCCCACTGAGTCCACCCCTTAAGTGTGTCACTTGTAAAGGAGGTTGGGTGGTAACACTTCAACATGGTCTAGATATATCAACAACCTGTCGACCTCCAAGTTAACATCTTCAGCCAGACCTCCCCTGGGATTCTAGACCTTAAAGCCTCCTTGACATCTCCACATGGTGTCAAAAACAAAAAACTATAGGCCAATATACTTTGTGAATATAGATGCAAAAATTCTTAACAAATTATTAGCTAATCAAATTCAACAATGTATGAACAAATGAAGTTTATCCCAGGGATGCAAGGCTGGTTCAGTATTCAGAAGTCAGTCCATGTAATAGACCATATTAAGAGGCTAAAGAAGAAAAATCATGTGATCATATCAATTGATACTGAAAAGCATCTGACAAAATGCAACATCCATTCTTAATAAAAACTCTTATAAATACAGGAATAGAAAGTGACTTCCTAAACTTGATAAAGAGTAACTACAAAAAACCTACAGCTTTCCACATAAGACCGGGAACAAGAGAAGGATGTCCACTCTCACCACTTGTATCTCACCACTGCAATAAGGCAAGAAAAGGGAATAAAAGGCATATAGACTGAAGGAGAACACATGAAACTATTCCTATTGACAGGTCGCATGGTTGTCTTTGTACAAAATCCCAAAGATTTCATAATACTTGCGAATGGATGGACACACAGATCAATGGAACGGAATAAAGAAGCCAGAAATAGATCCACAAAATAGGCCCGAATGATTTCTTAAATTAATTTTATTGAGGTAATATACAGATAACATAAAATTTGCCATTTTAACCACTTGAAAGTTTAAAATTTGGTAGCAATTGGTACATCACAATGTTGTGTAACCATCACTACTGTCTATTTCCAAGACATTTTCATCATCCCAGTGGGAACCCCATACTCATTAAGGAGCCCCCCTCTATTCACCCTCCCTCAGCTCCTGGAAACCAATAATCTGCTTTTTGTCTCTATCGATTTACCTATTCTGGATATTTCATATAGATCAAATCATACAATATGTGGCCTTTTATGTCTGACTGACTTCATTTAGCATAATGTTTTCAAGGTTCACCCCTGCTGAAGCATGTATTAGAATTTCATCTCTTCTATGGCTGAATATATTTTATTGCATGGTTGGACCACATTTTATCTACCCAAACTAGGTGGATGTTTGGGTTGCCCCCCCCCACACCGCATCCCTTTAGCTATTGTGATAGTCTGCTGTGAACATGCATGTAAAAGTTTTGAGGGTTTTTGGTGTTTTGTTTTTTTTTTTACATGCTTTCACTTCTTTTGGGTGTACACTTGGGAGTGGAATTGCTGGGTCATATGGTAGCTCTGTGCTAACTTACTGAGGAACCACTGTTAGAGGAGCTAACAGGCTCTCTCCCTTTTGGATGAGAACAGGGCCTAGAGATGACCTACCATGCAGCAGGCACGTGGCTGCACTCAGTGCCTCATGGAGAAACTGAGGCTTAGCCCCACCAAGGCAGTGACCCAGCCCCTAGCCCCAGGCCCCTCACCCCTCTGTGGGTCTCGCAGGCCAGCTTCACACACCCAGGCAGCTCCAGGTCAGCTGCAGTAAGGGGCTGTCACGGAAACCCCCACGTGGTGGAAAGTCCGGAATTCTACAAGAGTCTCTTTGCTAATCTCCAAGCAAGTGGCTGGGTGACGCGGGCATAGGTCAGGCTTGGCTGGATGACACAGGTGCACCTGCGAGGGGTTCGTGGCTTTGTAAAAGAGACGTGGGGAATGATCTTGGAAGTTTTTAATTCCCCTTGAACCACTGTTTTATGGCTAACAGTCCTTCAATGAGCACTCAACCAATTGAAGGGGGAGAGCACCCATGGGTGCAGGGTGCGTCGGTGGATGATGCAGCTCAAAGGGAAGGAACGCTGAGGCCCTTCTGGAGGGACTGGTGGAGGCCATGCTCGCTAGCCACCCCTAAAGCCAAGCTTTCCGGGCACCCCGGGGAATCTGTGAGTCATTAGATGTGACACGGAGTGGCTTTGCTTTCCTGAGGCCAGACCCACACGGCTGAGGAGCCTGGGGACTGGGAGCACTGATCCAGAAGCTTCCTTTGCAAAGGAAAAGTAAAGCCAACAGATGGCTGGCAGGTGCGGCTGGCTGCGGACCGGCCACATCTTCCTCAGTTACAGGGGCGTTTCCAGCCCTGCCCCTCTGGAAGCTCCCCGGCTCCGATTGGCTTCGGGCAGCGCAGCCTCTGCTCTTTTCTCGGGAGAGTTCGGTATAACAGGGACCCAGCGCCCGGCGCTCAGCCCAGGTGTCCGCCCAGGTGTCCGCCCAGGTGTCCGCCCAGGTGTCCCCGGGGCTGGAGGCGCAGCAGGCAGACACGGCCCAGCCACCCCACAAGCCCGGCGGCACCCCGGGGCCACGGGACCCCAGGCGGGGAGAGAGGGCCCCCAGATCCGCGCCCCCCGAGCCCACGATGGCAGGCGAGGCCCGC